TCACCTCATTTATCAAAACACTATGAAATTTCGGGGTTTCATACCCTCAGGTCTAAATTTACAATCGCTACTTACCTCATACCAGATGAAAATCTACTCCGCAATGCCCTTGCTTCTTGACTCGGCCTCAATCGTCCCGAATGTATCCAAAATCAGAATCATATAATCAATACAAGACAAAGTGACAAATCCCACGCGAAAATTATCAAATTAAACTCAAAATCCCGAAAATGGTCAAACCAAACCCCTGGCCCACGTCTCGAAATTTGGTAAAAATCACAACACTAGAATCCTTAACCTCTCACGAATCCATACATACCAAAATCATCAAAATCGGAACTCAAATGGCCCATCAAATCCCTAATTTAAACGCTCCAATTTCAAGCCCTAATTTCCCAAATTTTCACCCCGGTTTTTCTTCAATTTCCATGTTTAATCAACTGAAAATCACTATAGATACGTGTGTAAAGTTCAAAAATGTTACCTCCAGAAGAATCCCCTTGATTTACTCTCCAAGACCCTCCAAAAGCTCCAATACTGTCTCAAAAATGGTGGAAATGGGCAAAAATTCGCAAAGGGATGCTTATATAGTTCTGCCCAGGCATTTCCGCACTTGCAACCTAAATCTCACTTCTGCGGACCGCACCTGTGGTCAACTTAACCGCATATGCAGTTTTTCATTAATTCCTCAGACGTCGCACCTGCGACCTAGGTCTCGCACCTGCGAGCTCGCAGATGCAGTTCCGACATCCGCTCATATGATCCTTGCCGATTTTACGATCTTCTTTCCGCTTCTACAGCTCGCACCTATGGTCCTCAAATCCCAGGCGTGGTTATGACAGGAACAACAGCTGAAACTGCTCAATTTCAAGACCAAACTTTCCCACAACCTTCTGAATTTATCCCGAGGCCCCCGGGACCTCAACCAAAATTACGAACAAGTCACATATCATCATTCAAACTCACAACAACCCTCAGAATACTCAAAACAATATCGAAAAACCAAATCACCTTCGGATTCAAGCCTAAGGATTTCAAAACTTCCGAATTCCGCAACCAATCCAAAAACCTATCAAACCTCACCAGAATGACTTGAAATTTTGTAGACATGTCAAAAATGACACAACAGACCTACTCTAATTTCCAGAATTCCATTCCTACCCCGATATCAAGATTTCCACTGCCGACTGGAAAACACCAAATTTCCAATTTTGCCAATTCAAGCCTAAATCTACCACGGACCTTCAAATAGAATTTCGAACACGCTCCTAAGTCCAAAATTACCTAGCGACGCTATTCAAACCATCAGAATTCACATCCGAGAACTTCTACACATAAGTTAATATCCGGTTGATTTTTCCAACCTAAGCTTCCAAATAAGAGACTAAGTGTCTCATTTCACTCCATAACCATTCCGAACACAGAACAACCAATATTATAAGATGAAGTACGGCTGAACAATACATAAAGAAGTAGAAATGGGGAGAGCGGGACTCTAACTCATAAAACGACCGGCTGGATCGTTACAGGAATTTAGAGGGAGATAATTAATAAACTTTTCTTGATTATATTCTTCAAGTGTTTGGGCCTATTTATAGGCACTTTGCATGAAAGGATTTGGCCACTTGTCCAAAGTCTTGACACTTGTTGAAAGTCTTGACATTTGTTGAAAGGCTTTGCCGCTTGTTGAAGGCCATGCCACTTGGCCATAATTTGCTCCCAAGTAATTTTATAATACATGGACATTCACTCTTACTATTATTTATAACAAGTTAAGAATACTTTTGTCTTGAAAAAAATAATTTCCGCTTCTAAGCTAGATTTGTAGCTTCTCCCAAAAAACAGAAAACTATTTTTATTGCTAGTCAAAAGTAATTTTTTGTCTTGGCCAAATACCTCAAATTTAAAAAAAATCAAAAAAATATTAATGGCCTCACAATAACTTGGCCAAATAGACCTAAATATTAACATATTGATTTAATGATGATTAAATGTATATTTTTAATATTTTTTTCAATATAAACCAAGCTTGTTGTGTTGTCGTGTTCTTTTTCTACATTCACATATCCTTAGAGATGTTTAAACATCTATTAGGATATTTGAGATATTTAAAAAACTCTTACGAGAGATATTTAAACAACTCCCATAATGTTTAAAAAATTCATTGGATTGTTTTAAACATCTAATGGTTGTTTTGGAATTAAAGTTCTTAGTATTATCATAAGATGTAGTGCAGCGGATGACGCTGCTCTTTTCTAAATTAGAAGTCTCGGGTTCAAGCTCTGGGTATGAAAAAATCTTTAGAAGGGAGCACTTTCCCCCGAATGAGGCCCCAAGCAAAGCGAATTCGGATATAGCCGAGCTCCAATACGGGAACCCGAGTAAGAAACCAATAGAAAAAATACAATATTATATTTTTATGCTATTGTTGGTTTAGTAGAAGTGCGAAGAGAAAAGAAGAAAACATAAACTTCAAACTTTAAATCTTTAACTTTGTATTTACTTCTTTATTAAATTCTCACTGAGTCCGATTTGTTTGAGCAACTCTCATATTTTTTAGTGTAGATATCTATTGCATTCTTACCTCTAGAATATACTAGGGTGATTAAAAATATATATGATGGGGTAAAGACCCGTATTAGGACACTGAAAAGAAAATTTGAACACTTCCCAGTCGAGATGGTATTGCATTAGGGACCGACTTTTAACCCATTTTTTTACTTTGGTGATGGATGAATTGACACGCTACATTCAAGTCGAGGTGCCGTAGTGCATATCATTTGCAGATAATATAGTATTGAATAATGAGACGCGAGGCAGGGTTAAGACTAGGTTGGAGATTTAGAGATAGACTCTAGAGTCTAAAGGTTTCAAGTTGAGCAAGACTAAGATGAAATACTTGGAGTGTAAGTTTAACAACTAGAGGAGGATAGGAAGTGAGGCTTGATATATAAGTCATCCCAAGAGATGGAGTTTCAAGTATCTTGAGTCTATAATCAAAAGTAATGAGGAGATTGATGATGATGTGACACATCGTATTAAAGCGGGATGGATGAAATGGAGGCTTGCATCTAGTGTATTATGTGCCAAGAAGGTGCCACTAAGACTTAAAGATAAGTTCTATTGTTGTATGGGGCAAAGTGTTGGCCAATCAATAACTCTCTATGTCTAGAAGATGAAAGTAGAGAAAATAGAGATGGATGTGTAGTCATACTAGGAGAGACAAAATTAGGAATGAAGATATTAGAGATAATGTGGGAGTCACATCTATGATGGACAAGAATGCGAAAGATGAGGCTAAGATGGTTCAGACATGTGAAGAAGAGATGCCTAGATGCCCCAGTAAGCGGGTGTGAGAGGTTGATCTTGGTGGGTCTAAGAAGAGGTAGAGGTAAGCCTTAGAAGTATTGGAGATAGATGATTAGGTAGGACATAACACAACTCCAACTTAGCAAGGTCATGACCCTTGATAGGAAAGTGTGAAGAGCGAGAATTAGGTAGAAGACTAGTAGGTAGTTGAACGTTTCTTTTTGCCATACCAGTAATTTTAGTATTATTCTTGATGTTCTTATCCTTATATTTTTATTACTACCAGTTGTTTCTTTTGCTTTTGTTATCTTATTATCTTGCTGTTGATACTGTTTATCTTGCATGGCTTTTCACTATAGTATTTATTTTTATAGTGCTTTACTTGAGCCAAGAGTCTATTGTAAACAACTTATTCACTTTCGTAAGGTAAGGGTAAGGCTGCGTATACACTATCCTCCCCAAACTATACTTGTATAACTACATTGGGTTTGTTATTATTTTTATTATTGTTGTTGTTGTTGTTGTTATCTATGGTTCTTAAACATTATAACATCTTTATGGTTGAAATATTTACTGGTTGAAAACTCTAAGAGAACATGATCATCTTGAGTGATTTTTTATGAAATATTTTCAACAAGGATTTTAATCATATATCAATTCAAATCTAAATCCAAATAATTTCAAATTAGTACTCAACCTTCAAATATTATTCCTAATAATTTAATACCCACTTCAAAATTTGGACGAGGTTGTGCATTGTATCCCACAGTCCCGGAAGATTTTCATATGGGTGACTTTAATGGTCATGTTGGGGATACAACTAGGGGTTATGACAAGGTGCATGGCAGGTTTGGTTTCGAGGTTAGGAACGAGAGCGGTACTTTATTGTTGGATTTTGCTAAAGCGTTTGACTTGGTGCTAGCTAACATGAGTTTTAAGAAGAGGGGGGAACACTTGATCACTTTTCGGAGTAGACTTGCCAAAACTCAGATTGATTATCTTCTCCTCAAGAGAGGTGATAAGGGCCTTTGTATAGGTTACAATGTTATCCCGAGTAAGTGTTTGTCGATGCAACATAGGCTCTTAGTGTGGACTTGGAGGTCAAAGGAGCAAGGAAGAAGATAGTGGTATACGACCAACTTAAGATCAAGTGGGGAGCTCTGACTAAGGGAAAAGATCAGGAGTTGGGGGAGAAGCTATTGTGTATGGGTGCCTAGAGGAGTATTGGGCGAGTAGTATGTGGACCACGATAACGAACTGCATTAAGGAAGCTGCTAGGGAGGTGTTAGGGGTCTCGGGTGGCCACAAAGGGGACTGCTGGTGGAATAGGGATGTCCAAGGAAAAGTAGAAGCTAAAAAAACGACGTATTTGAAGCTAGTAGGGAGCACTGATGAAGAAGAGCGGAGGTCGTATAAGGATTCTTATAAGAAGGCAAGAAGAGAGGCGAATCTCACGGTCACGGCGGCTAGCAGCTTTTGAAAGAATGTATGAGGATATTGGGGGCAAAGAAGGGTATATACAGCTGTACAAGTTAGCCAAGATTAGGGCGATGAAGGCTCGAAACTTGGATCGAGTGAAGTGCATCAAAGATGAAGACGGTAAGGTACTGGTGGAAGAGGCGTATATCAGGCTTAGATAGCAGGAGTACTTCCATAGACTCTTGAACGAGGAAGGGGATAGGAATATTATGATGGGTGAGTTGGAGAACTTAGAGAGTCAGAGAGATTTTAGGCTTTGTAGGCATATTAAGTGTGAGGTGGTTGATGTGGCAATACGGAAGACGAGCAGGGGTAAGGCGACTGAGCCTGATGAGATCCCGGTGGAACATTGGAAAGTAGTGGGTATGTTAGGCTTGGAGTGGCTTACTAGCTTGTTTAACATTATCTTCAAGACGAATAATATGCCCGAATATTGGAGGTGTAGTTTTAATATTCCGTTATACAAAAACAAAGGTGATATCCAGAACTGCAACAACTATATGGGTATTAAACTACTTAGTCACACTATGAAGGTTTGGAGAGGATGGTGGAGAAGAGAGTGAGGACAAATGTATCTATCTCTGAGAACCAGTTCGGATTTATGCCAGGGCAGTCAACTACAGAAGCCATTCACCTTGTGAGACGATTAGTGGGGCAATATAGGGAGAGGAAAAATGACTTACACATGGTGTTCATTGACCTTGAGAATACTTATGACAAAGTCCCGATGGAGGTACTATAGAAATGTTTGGAGGTTAGCGGAGTTCTAGTAGCGTGCATTAGGGTGATTAAGGACATGTATGAAGGTGCTAAGACTCGGGTGAGGACTGTAGGATGAGACTTTGAACATTTCCCTATGGAGATGGGGTTGCATCAAGGATCATCCCTTAGCACATTTTTGTTTGCCCTAGTATTGGATGTGCTGACACGACACATACAAGGGAGGGTAAAATGGTGTATGTTATTTGCTGATGATATAATACTAATTAACGAGACACGAGGGGGTGTTAACGCTAGGTTGGAAGTTTGGAGATAGACGCTAAAGTCCAAAGGTTTCAAGTTGAGTAGGTTGAATACTGAATACTTGGAGTATCAGTCGCCACTATAAACTAGTGCATAACAAACCCTCAAGAATTGTGTTACCTTTTCAATATACTCGGCCCTACTTCAGCTCAGATCGAATATCATAGATCTCCATCTCTTTCTTGGCTTAGAGTGCTTTGACGACATCCCTCTCGTCCAAAGTCTTCTTAAGCTCAGCCTCGCATCCAGCAAGATCAACTTGGGACTTGGAAAATGCCCTTTTATGGAGCACCACATCCTTCATGAAAAAGGAAAAAAGATAGATTCAGAACAACTAAAAAACAAAGGCGCAGGCATAAAAACAGAAAACTCACTTGTTTAAAGATGCTACAAGCCTCATAAAAAATGAAAGAGGCATCGGGGTCGGGACCATTTTCAAGCCCTGCGAGACATTCTCGGAAGATGTCATGCCCTTCGTGGCTTGCTTCCACTTTAGAAGACCTTATATTATGGGCATCTCGGATTTGTCCCTCGGAGAACTCGGGGCCAGGAGGCAAATCATCCACATTGATCACCCCAAGTGATCCACTTGGGGCATTTTCTCTTATCTGAAGAGGCTCGGGGTCAGGTCGTTCGGCCTCGCCCTCCAAATGATCTCCTAGGTAAGGTGCCTTCTTTCTGGATGATGGTTTGGGGACCTTGTTTGAACTCCCCTTAGAAATTTCTTCGGATCTGGATTGAGCCACATCAACCACCGCTGGTTCGATGGGCTTCGAAGCATCGACATTTTTTCTTTTTTAGCGGGTCACCAACAAGCAGTCATCATCTTCTTCTTCCTCCTGATCTCGAAGGTGTTAGGCCATTTTTGAAGATAAGGCCGTTGTATCGACCTTAGGCCTTCGAGCAATGCTCTTCTTTGGCTTCAGGGGATTTTCAAATGTCTCTCTTCTTCTTTTTCTTTCTTTGGAGGTCTTCGGAACCTCCACTTCATCTGCCAGGGCCGGCCGCAAATCATCAGCGTCTCCAATACCTACATAAATCCGAGTTAAGTATCCCGTAGCAGAAGCACAAAAAAACAAACAAAAGAGCACACCATGATTTTTGGCCTCCCATCGACCCTTGGCCAGATCTCGCCAGCAACGCTCCGCATAAGAGGAGGTAGAGGCCAGTTTTCGGACCCAGCCCTCGAGGTCCAGGAACCCACTAGGAAACCAAGAAGCAACTGCACCATTGTAAGGGGTTAGACCAATGAAAAATATAAAGCCAGGGAAAAGAAAAGAAAGCAAGGTATAAACCTGCTGCGTACTCACGTTTCATGTTCCACTCCTCGGGGAACGACATCCAATTGGTAGGAATCAGATCGGAGGTCGGACAAACTGGCTCATCCACCCAAGGTCTTTGTCCTCATCAATACTAGCAAAGAGAGATTTTAAGGATCGGCGTTGCTATTTCATCAAGCCCCCATGATAAAGTCGGGGATTGTACAGTCTGATCAGATGATCGAGGGTAAAAAACATCCCCTCAATTTGGCTCGAAAAGAACCTGATTAAGTAAACGATTAGTTAGAAAGACGGGTAGATCTGGCCGAGCCTCACTTGGTATCATTGAAAAAAGTCAAGAATAACTGGGCCTATAGGACCCTGAGCCAAAATTGCGGAGCCCAATGTAAATGGGTAGGTGAATATGCTTAGGTACCCCGCTTTGTACGTGGTGATGTCCTTCTCGGATGAAGGAATCACTATTTCTTTATTGTCCCATTTACAATCCTCCTTTACTTGCTTAAGCTCAGCCTTGGTCTTCAGACAAACATATCGAGACATGGGCTCGCATCGGCCTAGAGTCGAAACAGGTTTGTCAATTTTAAAATTGGATGTTATTTCACATGGTGAGGGAATACACTCCTCGATACGAGGAGGCACCACCGATTTACCCTTGGTCGATTGAGAAGATGATGAAGCTTTTTCTTGTTGGGAAATCGGTTTAGATGTTTTAGCCATCGCAATACGGAAGATCCAAGAAAATGAAGAGTGTTGATAGTGAACATAAGGGAGAGCTCAAGAAGATTGAAAAAAGGGTAATGAGACTTTGAAAATAATATGGGAATCAAGTTTGTAAGGTTGTGGAATCTGTCTATTTATAAAGGTCATTTAAGCATGCTGAGGAAGCCAAAAGGCCGACCGTCAGGCGCCTCCAAATAATGATTTTGAGAATCGTAAAATAAGCAACTTTTCAGTCGCTTCAACCGCTGACGTTACGATATTAGCATCAGGACCAAGGCATCAATGATTAATTCGTCAAAAATCATAAAGGGCAGCTTATAAGTCGAGTTTGAGCAGGGTATCCATTCTATCACTAAGCCCAAGGGCTATCTGAGTTTGAGGAATCACTCACTTGAAAACTGTGAATAGGCCTAAGAGCTATCCTTATTACAAGTTTGAGCAAATGCCCGCTTGACTGTAAAAGCCTAAGGGCTACCCAAGGTGGAGAAGTTTTCCAGCCGGGGACTGCAAGGAAATCTAAGGATTTACTTCATCTCGAGATCTTGCTCTCACCTAACTCAGGCTGGAGAATCCCGACGTTCCGAGTTCACATTCAAGCTCAGCTCGAGGGTTAACAAAAACCACGAGGTGTAGTATATTGATCAATTAAAAACCTAAGGTTTTACTATGTCCTAAGCTCGATATTTGGGATAGTCATTTAAAACATAAAATCGTGTCTTTTCCGAATAAAGATAGAGTAAAATTCAGCATGGGCCGAAAGAGATACAAAAGGATCCTTTTATACTTACAAGAAATGATTACAAAGTATAACTATGGCACCCATGAAGGATACTTACAAAGAAGCAAAAAACAAAAGCCAAAGATCCTAATTTACTTTTATGGCCACGACCTCGGGAGCAGCGTCTCCGAAAATCCTCTCCTTGGGGGCACCATTTCCGATTTTTGGAAATGTTTGGTAGATGGCCCTCGATTAGTGCAATTATATCTCTGGTAGCCGAATTGAGCATTCCATTGAAATTTTGGGCCATAATATATTAAGAAAGAAAAAGCAAAAGGAAAAACCAAAAAGGGGTTGCAAGATGCGCGAGCAACAATCCAATAGTGTTAATCCTTGGAACTCTGTTCTGGTGTGGGATGCAAAAGATAGTAGATGATAGTTCCACCTCACTCTATGGAAAGCAAAAGGAGTGAAGCTCTACACATGGTTGAAGTTAAGAGAGATGAGCAGCAGTGTAAAGTTCGCATATCTTCTGATACAGGAAGAATTCGGTGCCCTTCTCTCGCTGTCTCCAGCCAAAGCTTTGAAAAAGGAAGCTTTGGCATAACTGGTAAAATTGTTGCCATGTGACCTTGTGGTCACAGATTTGAACCATAAAAATAGGTGATTAGAGGAAGAGATAAGGCTGGGAAAAGGATAAAAGTAGATGAAGAAGGAATGAGTATAGTTTTTGTTCAGCAAATTAACCCCTTATTTATAGAAGCCAATGACAGAACCAGCTGCGCAAGTGCCGACAAAAGCTGAAACGTATTTGATATTTTAGGGAAGCATGCTGACATGACATTTATGATCACTTCAAGCACCTACGTCACGAGCATGATGTCATCACGAGAGGCTCGGAAAGATCGAGGTTAAAATAATTTCTTATCATCTTATTCTAAGAAATGCAAGGACTATCTATATAAGGTCAAAATCAAGGAGCCCAATTTTGAAGTCTTAAATTGGGCTAGAAGCCCGAGTTCGGGCGACGCGAAGTACGGGTCAGACCCAGCTGAGGGACACACACCTCGAGGAAGCAGATCGAAGGCCTAGCACGATCGGCATCGAGGGCCGTACAATCTCGAAAACACTCAAGAAAGAGCGGGAATTTCTCAAGGACACGTGAGTCAGGGTATAAATTATAGGATAAGATCTGTACGAAATAGTACAAGTCCGTACTAGTTTGTTATATAATTGTACCAATAGAATTCTTTGCCATAATTGGAAATGTACCATATTAGGGTTTTCCCTTCTTATATAAAAGGGACCCCAATCATCTTATATCTCACATTATTGACAGCAATAGAACATTTCACTCTGCTTTTCTTGCTTAACGTGCTCAACATTTGTTCTTTAGCTTTATTGTCTTTTCTTTAAACTATATTGTTCCTAGCTGACCTTGAGGTCCCTGGGATAACCCAGCTCGAGGCCCCTATTGCTTCAACAACATTGATTTGGTTCATCATCTCTTCTTACTTCAGCTTAATATTACTTGTATAAACACTAGTATTAGAATATATCACATATCTTTAAAACCACAAGTTATCTTTAATTCTTACTCACATTTTTCGAGGTGAGCAGATGCGACTCCTGAAGATGCAGCTACTAAGGATGTGACCCGAAGTAGGTTTAGTTTACTTTATTTTGTTTCCTTGTAAGCCTCCCTTGTGTAAATATTTACTATAATCATCTTTTGGAAATACGGGGAACTTTTTATCTCGTCTTTGGTTAGTGTTGGAGTTAACATTGCCTTTATTCATGGAAGACTTTATTTGAAGTATTAGTCCAAGGATTGGTTTGGGGTTCGGGGTACTATAAACCCTTAGATCTTTATCGATAGGTATAATAATTTTTGAGCTATGTTTTAATTGATCTGCTGTGACCTCGGGATATTGTGAACCTCGAGTCCGAATCGAAATGAAACCGGAGTTTTGAACTATAAGTTTTTGGCCCTTAAGACTT